AAAATGTAAACAAACACGCTTCCTCATTTCCTCATCTTAAATAATGTAAATTGTATGTAATTACAAATGAAATGAGAGATCGGGATGTAAATATTTCGTTTATTTTATTTCACTTTTCACAAATATCACTCAAAATACAGCCAAAATATCGAAAAACAACTTTTACTAAAAAGTAAACAAACATGGAACAGTATTTGAAGTTTGACGTAGATCCATAAGACAGAGAAATGTAAACAACCGTTGCCATTTATAAATAGTTTTCAGTGCTTCTACATATAAAATAATTGATTGATATCTATTATAAGCTATTATTAAATGATAATGCACACTATGTGCATACTTGATATTTTGATTACTTACAATTAAATATATTAATCTAACCAATAAATTATTATTTTGGTTTGATAGCACCTGTAGAGTATAAAATACGGAGTAATATTTTCAGCCACTCGCGTGGCAAACAAAACGTGACAACAGTTGAAGGTGCTGAGAATGTGACCTATTCAAATAATTTTGACTTCACAATTTTATGTAAATAACTGAGTCCATCTGTGTTTATACGTCCATGAGACAAACCATACTGACAAGTAAAATTGATAATGAACCCACTGAAAATCCGAGTGACATACCTTCTAGTGCATCAGTCAAAAGTTCTGCTGTGCCGAGTGCTACACAGTCTCTCTTGAGTAATCTAAGGCCCAGTGAAGCTACCCATTATAATGCTCCCAGAAAATCTTTATATGCACTAGTTTGCGGAAATGGTGCCTGCTCAGACCAATTAAAAGGTGTCCTTAAAGCAAATCATAACAAACGTTCATGGTTTTACCTAGATAGGGTGCAAAACTCGGTTGCTGAGTTCGTTGTAAAAGAATACATAAAGAAAGCTGCCAATATTGGCAATGAAAAAAGACATTTATGTTAAACTGTTAAAATCTAATGAAGAATTTAACTCATTTAGATTTGGAATTCCTACTGAGTACGTGACAATAGTGAATAAAAGTGATTTTTGGCCCCGGATGTCCTTTTTAGGAAGTTTGTGTTTAACTTCCATAGAAATGTTGATTCTACCAAAATCCAGTCATTAGCCAACACATCAACTCATCAAACAACAGTTAACCAGCCAAAAAACTGAGAAGTAACCTAAAATGTTACGTTCATAATGTTGGTGGACTTCGACCTAAACTCTCTTAGTTAAGGGACTCTTTGCTACTAAATGATTATGATATTGTTATTTTGATTGAATCGTGGCTATCTGAGAAGTTTCTGGTTAGTGAGACTGATCTAGTACCTAAAGTATATTGTTTATAGACAAGACCGCTATCAGCATGGATTGGACATAGTGGGCGGAAGAGTGTATATTGCAATCAAGAAAAACCTACCCTCTAAACTAATATGTAAGTCAAATTCGTTTAACATAGAACAACTTTTTGTGAAAATTAAACTGAATGATGATCAGCTTATAATAGGAGGAATGTATATACCACCTAGTTCATTAGTTGAAGCATATGAATATCACTGCACCTTTCTTGAGGAACTGATAAGTAAACATCCACAAAGTTCTGTGATCTTGGTTGGCGATTACAACCTGGGAGATGCTCAATGGGCCAATGATCAAAACGGGGTTTATTTATCCACCTCACTTCCTGATGGCTCTCATGTGAATACAGTATGTGGATCTTTTGCATTTTTAAATCTTCATCAGTGCAACAATATACCAAACAGACATGGAAAATTTCTGGATCTCATTTTTTCACATATACCTGATCTAAATGTGTGTACACCGGTCGATCCATTGTTTTGTAAATCATTCAGGCATAAGCCATATGAATTTTTGATCCTTATTGGCTATTTTAAAGAGTCGGTTTTTTATGAAGACTATGTTTATGATTTCAAAAACTGTAATTTTAATTCTGTTAACCTTTATCTATCTTCAGTTAATTCGGATGCATTATACCATTATAATAATATAAATGAGGCTTGTCAAATATTTTACAGCCATATGTATCAGTGTTTCGATATTTTTCTTCCTATGAAGGTTGTCAAGTGTTCCTACAAGTTCTCAATTTGGTTCTCAATAAAACTTAAAGATCTTATTATTCAAAAAAAAGCTCATCTGAGATTTAAATTATATAAATCAAACGAGGACTACTTATTGTTCTCTAATCTGCGTGATCAATGTAAAGTTAAACATACACTTTGTCAGAAACAGCATTTTTCGTCTCTTGAAAAAAATTTTAGTAATAACCCCAGGGAATTTTTGGGATACATTGGCAAACTTCGTAAATCTTCAAGTTATCCCCAAGAAATGTATCTCCGTAACAGAACGGCACAGGGCAATATCGAAATTGCTAACCTGTTTGCTGAGTTCTTCTCTGGTGTATATGAGAAAGATACAGGGCTCCTATTTCAGATTTTGAAAACTGTTTAAGACACATTGACCCTGTAAACCTAATTCAAGTTGACACTATATTAGTGTTTGATGAACTAAGAAAACTTCCAAACAAATTCTCCTTGGGGCCCGATGGAATCCCACCAGTATTATTAAAGCACTGTCTATGCTCTCTTACTATGCCCCTAAAATATTATGACTGGTGAGTTCCCTCCTTTCTGGAAGAACAGTTATATTGTATGCATTTTTAAGACAGGTAAAAGGGAAGATATTGGAAAATACCGAGGAATTTGTATACAGTCAGCAATCCCAAAACTTCTCGACAAACTAGTGACTTCTCACTTATCAAAACTAACAAATAATATAATAATACCCCAACAGAATGGCTTTCAAAGGGGTAGGAGCACAGTGTCAAACTTCTTGGTCTATCAAGATGATATATTGGGTGCCTATGAGAGGAAGTGCTAGGTGGACAGCATCTATACTGACTTCTCAAAGGCATTCGATAAAGTAAATCATCGTTATTTAATCAGTAAATTAGAAGCCATTGGTATAGCTGGCAAATGGCTTGATTGGTATGATAGTTTTCTTGTGGGTAACACCCAGAGCATTAAGATAAATGGTGTGTTGTCTCAATATATTGACGTCCTCTCTGGAGTACCACAGAGGTCACATTGATTGTGGTCCTCTACTTTTTGTCCTCTTTCTTAACGATGTTGAGAAAGTCATTAAGTATTCAAAATTTCTCAACTTCGCTGATAATAAAAAAATTTATAAAGTCATTACTTGTCAGTATGATCAAATTCAGCTACAAGAGGATATAAGCAGATTTAGCGATTGGTGCAAACCAAATGAATTAATATTGAACATTGATACATGTTGTGTTATTACTTTTTAAAGGAAACAATTTTAAATTACGATTACAATCAGCATTGATAACACTCAGCTATCTAGACAGGACTGTGTTAAGGATTTAGGTGTTTATTTTGATTGTAAATTAGCATTTCGTAAGCATCTAGAGGTCACAGTAAACAGTGCATTTAAGCAATTAGGGTTTATAACTAGAAACACTTCTCAATTTTCATGTTTTGTTTTACCAATTCTTTTTAATAGTCTCTTCCAGACTAGAATATGCAATCGTTATATGGGGACCTTACTATCAAACCTCTATAGACAAGCTTGATCGTGTTCAGCATAAATTTGGTAAACACTATAATAACCGTAGTGCTTTGCATGACCTCTCTGTCCCATACAGTTATAGTGTGATAGCTGATCACTTGAAAATGGTTTCTATGAATCGACGAAAAGATTATTTTTGCCTAATATTCCTTTACAAAATTGTTAATAATTTGATAAATTGCCCTGAACTTTTAAATCGATTAGGTCTTAACACTCTTCATTGAACTAGGCATACTTCATTATTTTATCTACCATTTCATCAATTTAATTATGAATACTTCAAGTCTCTTACTCATATGGTGAAACTATATAATAGGTACCAAAGTGATCTGGACTTATTTTTGCAGTCCTTAGAACAATTTAAAAATGTGATAAAGAGACTGCTATTTGTGTGATATTAGTTTGTATTCTAGTTAATTATTAGTTTTTGTTAAACTTACTAATTATTTTCCAATGTTATGCTTACCTTGTAAAATTTTATATATTATATATTGTTCCAATGTAAATGGTATATCCGTTAATAAATAAATAAAAAAATATATATTTCATAAGCTACACAAGTGTATGTTCTAACTTAACCGAATTAAAACAAAACGCAAAAACTCATTCATTGCACGGTTTTATTTAATATATTTCTCATATACATCTATAATACATACATTAAATTAATATTCTCGTGCAGGTGCATTAAATTAAATTAATTTAAATTATTAAATAATTCTTGCGGAACATGCCTTTTACACAATACAAAAAGGATATTATAAGAAAAATAATACAGAGGCGGTCCACCCTAGACTAAAAATCATTATCGCAGATACTTGTGGTGCACTACTTGTGAGATCACCAGGCTACACTCACTACTAATACTCTAAGTTTGGAAGAATCGCATAAATTAGAAAAAGTATACAAAGAAATCATTTTTTAAGATATTTTTGATAGAAATTACCCAGTAGCATTTACTTCAAATAGTATTTTTAATTAGATAAAATAGTAGTCAACGGGTAGAATAACTTTCAATCGCATAGAAGAATATGGTACAAAAAGTATGCTAACTACATAGATTTCATGGTCGTATATTCGTTCTAGTTTATGCGATTTAGATATAATAATATAATACATTATACACATAAAACGACTTTATACACACGTTAAACAAATTCGATGAATCGTTACAGGAACAATCTTTTTGAAACCTGTGAGTGATTTGGTGAAGTTTCAATCCTATATAAATTAGCAAATGTTCGGGTAACGTAGGCAAAATTAGATTCGAAATTTTGTTGGTATAATAAAAAAGAGAAAGGAATGAGAATCTATAATCCTGTAGTGTAAAATTAAGATAATTACGGATATTAATTCGCAATAAAGACAAAAGACTTGCTTTATAGATTTAAACTGTACAAAACTAATTACAATATTTTACATAAATAAATAAAGCAATTAGAAAATTTGTTTACTTGTAATAATATTACGAGACATGAATGCAAAGAACATGATTATATTAATAAAAGTAAACAGCTTAAGTAAAGATGCCAAGTATCCCTTTAGTTACCCGAATCAGAACACAGTCAAACCAACCTCACCAAACCAATATCGCTATCAATAATTTAGATGACAGGAGCCCTCATTTTATTGATGGCATTTGTAAGGTGCATAATTTCTGTATTTAACTGGTGTGCAAGTGATTCCAATTTTTCTACTGAATCTAGGACTTCCACCCTTCCGGTGTGTGGGTTGAATCTGACTTCGAAGGGTCTGGACATTTGAGATACCCATCTTCTGAATTTGTCTTTCATATCTTCAATACTTTCTGCTACGTAGTACACTGGTTGGTATTCTTGATCTTGATAAGGTTGAAGAGCGGTCTTAGCTGGGTCGAAAGGTCTGTGTTCAGGTTTGTCAGAAAGAGCATGGAGAAGTTCTCCGTACGCGCTGAGAAGACCGGCACCATATGCTCTGGTTTCTCCATTTTCCTTGCAGAGTCCGAATTCAACTGTGAACCAATAAATCTGAAAACGAAAGGTAAGAAAAGTGTTAAAATAATTTAAAAAATATATTTTTTTCTTAGTTAACATTCGTAATAATTGGTGTGTATAGCATTTTAACTTCTCTGCTTTGAAAATTAATTGTGGAATGAATGTTTGCTGCATTGCTAAAGGTAGGTGTTTTGTTTTAGATAGTCTATTATTAAAATCATAACGATGTTATTTTTATAAACTTAGGAACTATTAATTTTTTATTTTAAAGTTTCGATAAAGGTGAGAAAAATGCAAAAATATACAAAATTGCCAACAAATGCCATTAATATAAAATCAAAGATTTTTCACTCAAAATAAAGTAATTATTATTTGGTAGAAAAATTATTCAATAAGATTTAAATGCAGATATATATTATATATCTGTTTTAGAAATAAGTAGAAATAAAAAATATTACATATATTAATGCATATAACTAGTTAACAGAATCCAATTTCTTTTTGTTTAAGAAGTATTCGTCTTAATTATTTCAGAGCAGCATTTAAAAATCTATTCTATACATTAATATTTTTTCCAAGTGGTCCAATTCTACCTAATTAATTTAGCGATTGCACATATTTGAAGAATCTGCGTTGCAAGATAAACAGGTAATTTCCATGCTATTAGTATTTAAACTGAAGCAATAGCAATTAGATGGCGACAAATCAACGACACTGATTACTATTAACTAGAAAACCAGAAAGAAGTCAGTAAAACTTTAATAATTAATTTTAAGAACGATTAGTGATACATCGATAATATGTTTTATGAAAGGCATTATTAGTTATTTAACTTGTACATAAAATGTTTGTTTATATTTTAAATGTATATTACCAAACGAATATCCACACGTAGGCATCTTTAATTATATCAACAGACAACAAACTTATAGCTTTTCTAAGAAAAATAATCACATGATATTGAATATCTGAAATCCTAATAATTTAATTGTCTATAATCCTAATGTCCTAATAATTTAATTAATATCTCTTCAAAATGTACTTGCTGATTTTTAAACAATTATTCTCTCAAAAGAATTAAGGCAGCAACAACTAAAAGAGTGTTGAGTCTATAATTTTTATTTTGGCAAAATTGTATATATCTTTAATATGGTCTCGTTATTCTCGGCTTGTTATTTTCGGTTTCGATAGGCACGTATGTTTCAGCTGAAAGCGAACAAAATATGTTAGCATAGTAGTTAAAAATAATAGAGGTGTCTAAGATCAAATTACGATCAGAAATATAGTTTTTTACAATGTTACGCTATCATGAGAGATGTTAGAAACCCAAGGAAGCAAGTAAGAATATATACATAGATAAAGAAGGTATACTTGGGGTAAAAGTAGTTTGAAAGAGTATGACTACTACTATTAGAGATACTGCTGTTGAAATACTTGGAAAACCTCAGCGAAGAAGGAAACCACAAAAAACCATGAAAAAAGTACAGTTTATTAAGTGAAGTTGACGGTTTATTAAATAAAGAATTTGATAGCAAACCAATTGAGCTGAGAGAATAACAGCAATTATCGCCAAAATAATAAACGAATAAGTTGCTTAAGCGATTCGAAAAATAAAAAAAGATAAAATATTTATTGGATCAGAAGATATTAATATAGAAGTGTAGAAGGCTTTAGTAGACCCAGAAACAAATTAACTAGTAGGTCTATTTAATATAACTACAGAAGTGGGTAAAATTCTAGACAAACAAAGGACATATATTTAAACGCACAAACTCCAGAAAGAGGGGGCAAGGTGAGAATTATTGATACACAGGTACGTACAAAAACCGAAATGTCCAAAGAACAGTTTGGATTTATGCAAGTCAGATCAACAATATATGCACTTTTTATTATAAAGCAGCTGATTATAAATTAGAAGAATAAAGAAAAAAACACTCATAATATGGTATGTATTTATGGTGAGAAAACATATGATAGAGTTCCTCAACAAGTTATGTGGTAGGCTTTTAAAAAGAAAGGTATTCCCGGTGGATATGTGAAGATTAGGAGAGACTTGTATAAGAGAGTAGCAACTAATATTAGAATAGGTATGACAAAGACTGATAAAATTTCTTGTGAAAGTAGACCTACATCAGCGCTAGTCATTCTTTATTCTCATTAGTGTTGGATCAGACAACAGCGAAACTATATAGTCGCATTCCCTGATGCTTAATGTATGGTAATTAGTAATAAGTGTAGTGTAATATAGTGTTACTAGGAAACACATGAATGGATTTAAAACAAAAACTAAAAGTAGTAAACATAAGCTCTTAAGGAAATCCTTTAAAACTTAGTGTGGCAAAAACAAAGTATTTGAAATGATTATTTGCAGATAAAGTTATTACTATTAATACAATGCTAACTTTGGATAGTGACATTAAAAATTGTAATTGAAAGATTTTAATGAAACTGAAAAAAAAATTCTATAAAACTGTCATAAGATCAGCTCTGATGTACAGAACTAAATGTTGAGCAATAAAGGAAAACGAGGAATAATGAATGCATATGGAGGAAATGAAAATGCTTTAACTTAGTAAGGGAGCCACAAAAATAAATAAAATTACGAATAAGTATAGGAAGGGATGTTTAAGAGTGGTAATATTGATGTCAAAATGATTCGGGTAAGCTCACCATAGAGCAAGCAACATTTTGCAAGGGTAAACATTAAATTTACTGTCGAAATAAAACATTATTTCTAATATCGTACAATAGCTTTCAGTAAGCTTTTATTTATGGTTATTGAAGAGATCTCTCTTGGCTTTTTGTTGCTTCATGTAGAGGTTGCTACTAACATACACATGCATATAATGTTACTAGAATGACCATATCCATGATAAACAGCATTTCATTTTAATTCAAGCTATCACAAGTATTTCTGATGATAGTTGAAACCTCTTAACACGTGTAGGAGATTAGTAGCCAACCAATTGTCTTCAATATATATATATATATATATATATATATATATATATATATATATATATATATATATATATATATATATATATATATATAAATATATTGAAGACAATTGGTTGGCAATGATGATGCAGGTGTTGAAAAGGAGGATGAAGAACAACTATTATAAAGTTGTAGTTATAAGATTAATATTATTAAGTAATTGATGTTATTGGTTTGAATGTTGCACAGCTTAAAGCAAAAACTTGTATGAAAACGAAAGAGATATTTTAACTGAGGCAAATGATAATTACGATTTAAAAATCTGGTATATATAAAAAAAATCTTATATTTATATAACTTAACGAAATACCGATATATTCAATAATATGCAAATAAATATTGTAGAATTTTCTATCATTAAAACCAATTAAACTCACGGTATAATTGGTTGCTAAAGAAAAATGTATTCTATTTATCTCATTGCCTTGCACCCTCACTGCTATGAATAATATGAGTACATGAATACTAAACCTCGGTTTGTTGTCAATCAAGCAGAAAATCAATAACCACTTCACTACTTGTAATTAATACATATTTTCTAAACAAACAAAACCGTGATAATTACCTTCGGCTGATGTTCTGGGACGAAAAAGGTGATTTTTATGAAAAAATGCGACTAATATGTCATGGTCAAGTGTATTTACGCACGATCGATCATTATATCATTGGGCAGTGCATTGAATGCATTTACTCAATCTGCACATGGTCAAGCATCTATTTTGCAATCATAGAAACTAGGTCTGAGACATATATATGCACGCATTATAATTTAAAAAATGTTTAGGTGGGAGTTTTTATTCTACATGACAAAAACAACAACTAATTGGAATTTGCTACTTGTAAAAACGTCGATTGAGAGAAGGAATATGAATATTGATAAGCAGTGTTTTTTGTTAGTTTTTGCATAGTAACAAGAACGAAAAGATGCCGAAATAGTTTGTCGTTTAAAAAGTACGGTTCATTAAAACATTGTTTTTTATTAAAGAGATTAAAAAAATTATATTTCTTAACATCATTTTTATCCATATTTTAAAAACTTCTCCTTTGTTTTATAAATGTCATCATTATTTTATTAAAATAAGTAGCTACTAATACTTACGGTAGATAATTTTTCAATCTCCTCATCAGATGCTCCAAGTGATGCAAGACCAATTTCTTGTGAAAATTGAGCGAAACTTGGATCGGCAAGTAAAGGCATGTGTCCTAAGATTTCATGAATGCAGTCACTGAAAAAGTAAAAGAAAAACTCAATAAAGACTACCGATTCAATCTGGAAATAAGTACTTCCGATACGTTTAAATTTCAAAACGTCCCGTGGGATGCAAGATTAGGTTTATAGGTTATCAGACTGTAATATTCTTTCGTCAAGGAGACAAATCTTATTAGGGTATATCGGTACAATGGTGCACAGTGGATATTAAAAATTCTGATTAAATACGATTGCAAAAAATTGCTAAGAATTCACAAAACTAAAAATGTCTTAAATTTTCAGCGAATATTTATTTTTGCTAATGCGAAATAATATGCACGAGTAAACTTTTGAATTATGTGTAAATTTGTGTCTCCGTTTTGACAACTTATACACTTATTTTTTATACACTTAGCGGCAAAAAAGTGGCCACCCTATAAATTTCCGAAAATAAAAATTCATTGTAAGTTTTATGCACTATAATTAAATACAATATGTTGTATGCTGGTCTTTGACAGTTTCGACGTTTATGATTCCGGTCGTAGAATAGTTACCTCGCAAAAAGATGATTATTTTATTGTGATAGAACTTTTAAAAAATCGCCATTCCACTGCAATTTTGAGACCGTCTGCAGAAGTTTCGAAATGGAATGTTAGTGAGAGAACGGTTAGACGCCTCAATAAAAGAGGGCTAGAGGGCTAATTACAACCTAGACACTGTACGAATAGATAAGTTTTTTCTCGACAACATCAATACTGGGATATACAGGATTGGAGATAAATATTCTTTACTGATGAATCGTGGTTCTGTTTAAAGTCTCGCGATGGCTGAGAGAGGGTTTGGAGACAAAGAAATGAAAGATATGTCCAAGCTTGTATGACCCAGAGAAAAAAGTTTGGCGGTGGTGGTATCATGGTTTGGGCTGGAATCTCATTTGTAGCTAGAACTGAATTTACTTTCATTAATGACCTCCTGAATGCTCATTGGTACATAGAGGATGTTTTGGTACATTGTAATTTTATTTGGTTCTTTTATTAGGGACAATTTCGGCTTTATGCATGACAATGCACGGCCGCATGCTGCAAGAATTCTGACATATTATTTGGAGAAAGTTGGAATTAAGACTCTAGAATAAACCAGCATGCAACCCCGATCTGAATATCATCGAACATCTTTGGTATAAACTTCATCGTAAGGTTATAAGTCATTTAGGCCAGCCCGAAAGTCTTGCAGAACTTTAAAACATGCTTCGTGGAGAATATGAACGTATTCCTCAAGTTTTTATTAAAATTTTTTCCTTTTCCTTCCAAATCGTATGCAAACGGTTATTTATGTTTTATGGCATAATACCCAATATTCGACAATTTTGTTTAAGTTCACTCGTAATTCTTATTGTTTGTAATACGAATAAATTTTAAGAAACTTCAAATATTTGTTTGGTTTTATTATTGTGTTATCTGTACTTTAGTACAGATATTATAGAAGTTTTTATTCTATTTCAAACTGGTATTTATATCAAGTTTGACATTTTCTTGTACAACCTAACAAATAATCGTGATTTATTACTATTCCTTAGAGAAAAATTTCTATGTCTTTGTTGGACATATTATTAAGTTTCCCATTTATTTTTAGAATTCGCTTTCTATCATATTTTAACATAAAAAAAAATAATTTAAAATGAACGACACTGGAACTGTTAGATAATTTTCAATTGCAAAGTTAAGCGATCCGCTATTAGTCTAGCTCTCTCGATATAATGGAATACAGATTCAATTACACCCAAGTTCTTTGATGACACCAGGCCCTTTAATGTACTAACATTATATAACACTTCAAAAATCTATAACACGTCTATTAAAGATTGGTAATTTACAACAACTTTTGCAATTTCCGCTGTTTGATAATTGGTCGCGAATATTTATAACTGACTGAAGTTTAATTATTATTTAAATCTATGTTATAAAATCGATATTGCAGTTTACTATTTTTATTGGGAATAATCCACAATTTTAGTTTAAAATGAGTTTATCTTAACATTTTGATTATTCCTCATAAAAATAGTAAATTGCGTATTACCAATAAAAATAGCAAATTGCATTAAGATGCCTCAAGACATTAGCTTCACAATATCGATCGATTTTTTTTTAATTTTTGATCACACTTTCTTAAATTATTAACTTTTTATTAGTTGAATTTTTTAAAAACCTTGCATATATATATATATATATATATATATATATATATATATAATAGTGAAAGTAAAGAGGCCTCTGAAGCCCTGAAGAAGATATCAGAGAGGATGTCGAAAGCACATGTCAGAGAGGATATATCAATATAGTAATAAATAATTATACTGAATATAAAAATACTTACGGTTCTGGGGTGTGGAAAGGTGTTTTTGTGTGACGGACGTATTGTGTACTTTGGAAAATTCTGAAAGCAAGTGAAGCCAAGAAATCTCTTGCTGTAAGTAATCCAGCGGCAGGTCTCAAAGTAAATCCTGTGCGTTTCTTCATAAAACAAGACATTTCTTCCAGTTGTGGCACTTTGTGTGGATTGAATATCCCTTCATCCTGAAGTATTCTGTAAAATATAATAATATTAATGCTATAAAAATGTTAAATTTAGGTTTGGTTTTTATCTAAAGCAGAAGATATTTATTAAAGATAATTTTATAAATAAAATTAAAGACCACTAATCAGAACAAACAATTAATGAAGTTAATCGATGAAAACTCTGGTTCCTTTGGTGGGCTTATTTAATTAAATATACACAACAGCAATCTTTTTGATATATATCTATAAAGAATGCTAACACTATTGAAAAATTAGTCTTATGTCAGCCACGTCAAAACTCTCTTAAAAATAATGCATACAAAAATACATTGCCAACCTCCGTAACGGATATGGCACTTACAATAAGTCGACAATATGATCGCAATAACTAGGAACATCTAATAAAATGGTTTTAGAAGTACGTGAGGCTTGCACCTGAATATAAAATAAGCCAACTAATGAACAAATATAGCAAAATACAAAAATGTTATATGCTACGATAATTTTGATATACAGGAACAAGACAATAACACAAAAAAAGGATTTTAAAATTTAATAACACAAGCAAACAATGAAAAACGTCACATATCAATATTTTTGAAACAAACCGGAAGCGGTAATATTGATGAGGCAAATAACAAGAGATAAAAAAATTAAGTAAGATTATGGTAAAAATTGAGTTTCATAATTTAACGAAGATATGAGTAAAATTAACTACTTGAAATAACGCAGAAATATGCAAATAGTGAATATACGATTGCACTTGGACTATTATACCTATTTAATCAAGGAGTAATATATGGGAAAATTTGAAAATAGGACATAAACGACGTAAACATGTAAGACATAAACGATTTTATGTGAAATAAAGGACAATCTATTTATGTTATAAACGATTAAAAATTTGAAAACAATACCAACAGGTTTTCTCTATTAAACTTTTTGAAGTAATACCAACTGGATTTCTCTTTTATTGTTAAAGTAAATGTGTGCAAAGTTAAACTTACCTGAATACTGTTCTGTACTCTGCACATGCATGTTTGTGCATTAATTCACAAACTGTGGTAAATACTGCATTCCAAGTTTTATTTTCGGTTTCAGTGTATTCAATGAATGGTACTGGTTCCCCACTGAAAAATAAATTCAATTGTAGTAAAAAAAATCAGAATTCTTTTAAATTTTGTTCTTTGTGTTCAATTGTTAGGGATACATGAAGTAGGAAACTAGCATTATGTCTCTTGGTCATATTAAACTATATCATAACTTGTTATTATTTACTTACTATTTATAGGAAAAAGCAATTTCTGCAATTTCTTTTCGTCTGGCTCTGTATTCTTTGTCAGAGAATCCAGGGTGATTCATATCAAGATCAGGTTCGTACTTGGTCATCAAATGATTGCAGCTATCCAATTCACTGGCGTGTCTTGGAAACCATGGGTTTTTTGCAGAAATATTGTCCTCTCCAATAAGAGTAGTATGTTCCAAAGTTCCTGATTGTCTAAGACCCTACATAATAAATAATATATATTTTTTTAAATATTTATATCTACACAACTTGTAATTATAACAATAGTAATAAAGCCAGAAAATTTTACTTCATTTAGGAAATTATTTAAAATGTTGGTAAATGCTATGAACCAGGAAGAACAATATTATACTAGCTTTCGCAGTAGTCTTAAATCACAGATTTAAATGAGTACTAAATAATGATTTTAATATGCAACTAACCTTAAGAAGTTGAAGTAAATTAACACGGGTCATCTCGATCTTAATAAGAGCATCCAATTGTCCATTTTCGCGTTGGTTAGGGCGAGTTTCTAAATGGAGAACTATACCCTGATATTTTTCGATAGCTTTAAGTACACGCGATAGTGAGTTCATTCCTTCACGTAGACGAAGGATTAAGGCGGCTTTCTGGATGGCTTTTTCGGCCTCAGGTCCTTCAGTGATGGCATTTGCGAGCACAATTTCTTCTTCGGTTAATCCAGTATCTGAAATAATTTTATATTACTAAAATACACTTTATACAATAATAGTTGTTAAGCCAATAGCAACATGCAATTTATTTGTTGGTTAAAAAGTCTAATGGATAAATCGATTTGGTTATTCTCGACGAAACATGCAGACTGAGAGATTATGTGATATTTATACCGGAAATAATATATTATATCCGATAAATCCGATAAAAATTTACACATTTACTAAGGCGTCCATTAATAGTTTATAATTTTCCTCGTTTCTTAGTGTCTTATTGTGTATGTTTTGTTAGATGATATACCTAACTGTTACTTTAATATACGATATTAATATTTTTGTTTTTAAGAGGAAATGTCATTTTCCAAAGATTTAACAGTATTAACATAATAAAAATCTACTTGCGCCACCTTTTGAAATCTAATAATAAAACAATTCAACAAAAATCTGAAATATAAGTGTAAAGTACATCATTACTTTAACGATTCTCTTAGAGTGCTGGTCGCCGAGACCATATTTTCAGAGCTTAACCACTAAATCTAGTTCTTCCTGACAAATGGAGGGTGAAAATTGACTTTTGACAACATAAAAGCGATTTTCATCCTTTGTAAAAGGAGGAGGTGCACTTTACTTGGTAACTCGGTAACTCCGAACCCACTCTTCACACAATTATATTCCTTTTCGCATGAAATATCTACAGAGAAAAGAAAAAAATTATGAATTTATTGTCGCTACATTCAACTTCGACTAATTGTGTCAACTTTTAAAAGCATGAGCGTCGTCAAGAGAATACTAAATTTATTACAATGACAAATTTTGTAATATTTTTATTAGAATAATAATTGATTCCATGATTTTAATTTTAAAGATTAAACAAAAAGATTCAAGCTTCTGTTTTCTGTATTACTTTAAAAAAAAAGAGAAAAATACAAGAAATTTTCAAGTTCCGCGAACTATAGATCCATATTTTGTGATTATACAGAAATTACTTATTACCACAAAATTATTAATAAATTGAACCTAAAAGGTAAAAAACTTCTTTGATATACAAAGATTACTACCAAACAAAAGAGCTTAAACATTCCTAAATGTTTGAACTAAAAGCTCAATCTTGCGAAACTGACTAATAAATAACATTTTTTACAATATTTTTAAACTTATTGTTAGTAACTAAAGTAAGCGGTGCGTATCAAAAACTAACCTTGCGGTATTAACACAAGAACTTGACATAATTACTTGAACTTGGTTGTTGATATGCTAGCACGAAGAACAAGGATGTGGTTAGGCATTTTTAGATAAAAAATTATCGAAATATATCCCGGTGGATATTTTCTTATTATAGAGAAATATATTAACAATATAATTTTAATTTATCAAAAAACAATTCCAATGGAGTGAATTTAAAGTCTAGTTCCTTTCATAACGTGATTACTCGACTGTGAAAATGAAACAAAAAAATAAGTGTTTAAAATTACGGATACGCGATATTAAATAAATATATTTTAAGTGATAGATTGGACCTATGTTCTATCCACGACGAAATTCATCAAAATAAAATTGTTTTATTTATTCTGATTATAGACAAGGAGTGTGGAGAAGGTCTGGGGAAAACAATTTCCAATGTTGCCTCTCCCAATTATCTTAGTTAGTTCTGTGGTTTAGGGATAATGGTACGTGGCGGCATTTTTTGGGAAGCCCATACAATAGTTAGCTTAGTAGAGGGTAATCGCCTAAATACCCAAGCGAACATTGAGAAATATCTGGAAAAAAAATATGGTACCTTACATGCATTTTGTAAGTTAAAATTTTCTCCGAATGCAGATAATGCTGGCGGCACATAGCCATGGCAACAATACAATACATTACAGATGTTGGTATTTGAGTACTAGTTGTGGGACAACTGGAAAAGAGCAGTTTGGTAAAATTATAAAGAGTTTAAAACCGTGATAGAGTTAAAACAGGCGCTGGTGTAATAATGGGAATAAATACCGCCAAACGATATTTGTCTTTGCCAGAAAGGATAAGAGCTCTTATTTGAGAGTAAAAGTATTTTACACCGAGATAGAAAGAAATTGTAAATTTTTATTTGTTGTTAAATAAATCAATATTTTGGATTAGAAATTAGGGATACAGAAATATCGTTATTAAGTAATAGCCGCGAGTTGTGTTATATGAGGTAAATCGCCAAATTATATATAAAAAAACCAAAAGATAAGGAACTAATTAAAAAATACTGCAAAACTAGTATTTTTATAATTATATAGTCAAAAATAGTTAGGTATATGCAAAACAAAATTTTATCTAGATGATCTGAATACTAAATTTATTATTTGTTGCTAATTGAACGTTAAAAAAATAATATAAGGCAAACACAAACAATTAACAAGCAGAAAGCCGACACACGCATTTTTAAGAAAATAAACATTGCTCAGGGCTATACCAAAAAGTTTGATCAAGGTTACTTCCTCGTTTTTTTCACTTTCTGACAACATTTTAGTAAAAAAATATTATAATATCTGGTATTATCTAAAGTAAAATTGGTTCTATTTTTATAAAAGACTAATTTAGAATTTAATATCTGCCAATAAACAGCTGATTATAATTTTTTAAACTAATTTACAAATTACATATTTTTTATAAATTATATATGAATACTTAAATATATAATTTATTGCAGGAATTTTATTTGAACTCGTGGCATAAGCTAGGTCACCTTTGTTTACATCCAAAATGTAAATTTAATGAAATAAAAAATGTAAATATTCTGGTGAAAAAACTAAAAAGCAAAAGTAGAAAATACTTCATAAATGAAAAGAAAAAAATGGGAATATACACAAGTATAAATTATGCAAAACAAACTATTGCGGAAGAAATTTGAATTTTTAAAAAAATCAGTGTTACTCTCAAATGAATAAGACGATGCTAAGATAAAAAATTGGAAATGCTAATTATAATGCAACATCAAATTAAAATAATCCTACACCTTATGTTGTATCATGTCTAAAATGAAAAAGGCTCTATATATCCCCAGAACAAAAATATCTCAAATATGAAGACTTCTAACTAGATGACTAGAATAATTTGTTTAACAACAATGTAAAACAAATTTTACCTAAAGAATATTAAGAAAAAACAAAGATACAAGATATTGTTAATATTTGTATATTTCTACTAACGAGATGTTTCATGGCTGAGCAAAGAAATTATTGCTTTATTTTAATATTTATTAACGACTTTTAACATGATGAAAAATCCGTATAAATTGTTAAAAATGTAGATTACATGCTCTAATTGTTTAAGTCGTAGTTGTATGCAACTCGTTCTAGATACATTTTATTGTTTTAAGATTTTACGATAATAATTTGCTTATTATCATATTACAACAAATTTACCAATATAAATTTTTTTTATAAAAGTGATAGTTTTGATAATTTGAACTTAAATTATTATCTCCGGTGATATTGTAAGTTTTATAAAATTTTGTTCCTAAAATCATTACGTTTTTAGTAAATTTTGCTATATTTATAATAGCGACATTTAATTAATTCGGTATATTCTAACTATTGATTATTGCTTTCTTTGTAGGTATATGTATTATAAATATATATGATATTGTTGTGACATATCCCACTTTTAATGAAATATTACAACATTAACGTCTACGCTAGTGCAATCTTTTTAAAATTACACGATACTGCGAATAATAGAATATCAAAACCGTATTTAGGATGAAACAAATAAAAATATTTACATTGTGTAAAAATTTAATATTTACTAATTTTGGCTTATTCAGAATATTCTTAAAAGCAGCAAAGCCAAACAAACAATTACGGTTTTTTATCGACTGTTAAAATGGGACGTTTGACTTCGTTTTATTTTATATAACAACTCTTGCAGTATTGCAACTTATGCAATGGCACGTAAGCGCGTACAAATATATAAACAAAATATTTAAAAAATAGAGCACAAAATTGAGGAAACGTAAAGAATATGGCCACAAAGTATTTATTCTAAAGGATGATATAACTGTAATTATTAACGCAATAACTGATGCAAAAACGAGCAATTGCTTTTTATATCAATGTATTCTATCGACCAATTCCTCGATTAAAATTAAAAGAAATTACCAGGGAAGTTTTAAATGTTCTTAAACAGTAGTAGGGTATACTTTTTTGTCTTTTCTTTAACCTTTTCCTCATAAGTTAGTATTTTAAATATAGTTTTCAAATACGCTAACTAGAATAATCATAGTGTTTAATTTGTATATGCGATTTATTTTGGTTTCATGTTCAGTTCTATTGTAGTTTTCAATATGCTAGTTATTACAGCTTTTTTTTTCATTAATTTACCTTAGTAAATAAGATATCAATAATTTGATTTAAATTTAAGTAACGTTAACAAAACAATTTTAAACTGACTGTCTAACTAATATCTAAGGCGAAGCTGTACGCTCTCGCCGACTCTTTTCAATATATACTATAAGGAAATTTTTACTGAAGCCCTCACAAACCTAGAGATGGGAATCCGAGTGAACGGTGAATACATCAATAATATCCGCTACGTCGATGACACTGTATTACTAGCAACCAGCCTAAATAATCTACAAGCTTTACTAGACTGAGTGAGAACTGTGAGCGTAACATACGCACTAGACCTTAATATTAAGCAAACTAAATTCATGGTTGTCAGCCGTGCAAATTTAGATACTGGAGCACTAATGGCAGGTAGCAAAGAGATCCAGAGAGTCGACAAATTCACTTACTTTGGAACTACCTTCAACTCACAATAGGACTACGCTCAAGAGATTAGATCCAGAATTGAAATGGCACGATCTACATTTATCAAGTTGAGATCCTTGCTGTGCTGCAGAGATCTAAGTTTGGGAACTAAGATGCGGATAGTAAGGTGCTACGTTCTTTCAGCGTTACTATATGAAGTTGAAGCCTGGACACTGACGCAAGCCACAAAAAAGCGGATTGAAGCCTTCGAGATGTGGATCTACAGAAGGATACTAAAAAGATGTGGACCAACGTTGAGGTCCTACGGCGCATGATAAAAGAAAGAGAAGTTCTTAACTTAGGGAAACAACGTAAGCTTGAGTACCTCGGGCACATAGTGCGGAACGAAGAAAAATATCGAATTCTTTAACTGGTTCTGCAGGGTAAAGTATTTGGCAGGAGAGGACCGGGACGCCGTCGTATCTCGTGGTTAAAAAACCTCCGACAATGGTTTCGGATGACCTCTGTAGAGCTGTTTCGCAGAGCAGTAAACAAAATCATGATAGCCTTGATGATCGCCAACATCCGGACCGCATAAGGCACTGAAGGAGAAGAAGTCTATCTAATTGTTTGAAAAATTCGATGGCTGCGTCAAAGTTGTGAAACATCTAATAACGTAATACCGACTTTTTTACCATTTATGCGAAGAAAATGATCTTTCAGGAAAAGGGGTCATATTTCGTCTCAATCTTTTATATATATTAGTGTATGCAATAGTAATTTTTGAATTTATGCCGTGCTGTTATTATTATTATTGGTTCTTGTATCTATTTTTTATGAAAACTTTTTATTGATGGTTTACTTCAAAATTAATTTGTTTTTTTGGTATGCTAAATATTTAGCCATATTTAGCCTGATATTCCTCTGTAAAATTATTATTTTGCAGATATTTTATTTTTAAACGGCGAGTTCTTTGCCGTGTCTAAGCTAAATAGTGGAAATTTTAAATATCCACTATTTTTTTATTGCTATTTTACAATATTTTGTTAAAATTAATTTATTATATTAATTTTTTAAATACTGTTAAACTAGTGAAAAATATAATGTAAAACGTTACCAAGTATCAACAAACATTTTTACCTTTACAAATGATTTACATAATTCGTAATTAGGTAATTTATGTCTATTTTTACTATTTTAGAAGCGCCCAAGGAAAGTGTAAACTGAACAAGCAATATCAAAAGCTTAAGAAGATATATTATATTTGTGTTAGTAGTAGATTCAATAATTTTCTTTAGCTTCATGTAATTATTTATGATAATATGATTTTTGAGAAGCCAAGGTATAATAAAAATGCATGAAAAAACCATTATGTGTGTTATTTATATTTTGAGGTTCATTTTTTATAGCCTAAAGTTAGTAAAAATATTATTGATAAGATATGAGTCTTAAAGTAAGGTTAGAAACTGTTTTTGACCAAAACCAGTATATTAATAAACTATTATATATTTTTTCAATTTTTTTTCTCACACACTTACCATCTTCTGTATTTGGTTCAGGTTGTTTTTGAATAGGTGTTTCATCTACTTCAGGTTCTAATGTGTCTAGAATAAAAAAATATCGTGCAAAACATCTAACGTGCCTTATTTAGCATGCTGTCATTAATGGAGCAATAAATATTAGAAGAATAAAACATAGATTCATTATTTTCGAAAAATTCAAAATGTAACGTTGAAAGATACAGTTAGGATTACTTATGTACAGAATTTTTCTACGAAGATCAACTTAAGAATTACTAATAAGCTATAAAATGTAACTACAGAATAATTTTATGTATTACATTGATAGTTTTATGACTGGAAGAAGTTATAACCAAATAGACTGGGGAAGTATCGAATGAAAATGAAAGACAAAACAAAATATCTAGTACTTAGAACACAACTACTGCATACGTAACTAGAAAGACAAATTTAATTAAACATATAATAAATAAATAATAATTGAGTCGTCAAAAAGTAAACTACTAAATAAAAGGGATTTTAAGTCTGACAGGAAATATGATACCAACAAATTATTAAGCTATACCGAGATTAGGGAAAGAAATAAACCAGTGAAATATATATATATATATATATATATATATATATATATATATATATATATCATTAAAAAACTGTGATTTACGGTTGGATTTAGATTTAATAACTAAAAACTTCAATTATGTGTGGCCCACATCTGTCCAAATGTTTATTGTAGTAGACCATATAAAAAACAATAGTGCATTGTTTACCGGGTAGGAAAAGCTTAACATTTCTGGACGACTGTGAAGATTGCTAAGTCGAGGCGCAAGCCGAGACTTAGCAACACAGAGTCCAGGAATGTGGCTTTTCCTACGAGGTGAACATACTATTTTTCCGCAAATCGTTTAAAATTCGACAGATATTGATTGATTTAAAAAAAAACGCGATAATTTTATTCCCAAATAAATGGTGCTTTGAAATTCCTAATAAAATTACTTGGGTTACTATGGAAACGTATTGAGGTTGAATTGTCAAACTTGACGCTTATAAATTTAATTGCTGGTGTACACTAACAACTGTACGGAAATTTCATTTCCTTACAGTAAGGAAGTCCTGACTTTTTCTTCAAGAAATTTTGACAGGAATGTCAAAATTTCCTGGCGATTTGCGGAAAAAAATGTTATTAGATATCCACATTAACTATACAGATAGTATTATTGAAACCATTATTATAAAACAAAGATATCTGCATCAATATGAGATCATATCATTTGAAAGAGATTTGTTCTGTGTGATGCATTTAATTATTATAAAATTTAACAAAAACGATTTTAAAATGTAAACTACAGTAATAACTGGTTATAGCAAAAGGTTCTAGGTTCATAACAATTAACTTTATCAGCTTTAACTTATTTTTCCCGCATATTAGAAAGTAATTATTATCAAACCTTGCTTAATTACATCAAAAGTGCCTGTTTGTGAAACACATTTAGAACATGCACATATCTTTATTTTATATTGCTACAGTGTGACATAAAACACTCATTGCAAAAAAAAAATCATTAACTATATCCGTTAAAAACTCTTGTAAGTTTATATTGCTTACAAAATTAAAATTAAAAGTGTTACCTAAAATATTTTTAGATATACCATCAAGAAATAATAAATAAAACATTTGCATCGAAAATCGATGATAAATACATAACATAAAAATCTTAACAGAAATAGTTCTGAATGTTGGAAACAGAAAGTATAACAATATAGAAAAAAAAAAGAAAAATTAAAATTATAATCGAAAAGAAAATATGGCAGATATATCAAATTTGTAAATCAGAAGTTAAACCAAAAGGCAATTGAGAATACTTTCGTATTTATTATTAGTTATTTAAGTAAGTAGTTTTTAAAGAGAGAAGCGTTATTTGCTTTTAATGTGTTAGCTCAAAGATACATGGATATAAATGTTGATGTGCATGTTTGTTACGTTGATTTTGAAAAAACATTTGACAAAGTAAGACATAAAAAATTAGTCCAAATTCTAAAAACATAGATCGTAGGAACTTATGAATAATAGCAAACCTCTACTGGAATCAAAGAGCACAAATCGTAATAGATGACGAACCCAGTCCAAAAATTCAAATCAGGGGAGGAGTTAGGCAGGGATGTATTATGTCCCTACTACTATTGAATGTATATAGTGAAGAAATAATAATTAACGGATGATCTATTAACAATATAAGATATGCAGATGACACCATGATTACAACTGAACTGAACAACTCCAATTATTGCGAAACAAAACAAACAGTTTCTGTGAAAAATATGAACTAAAAATAAATATAAAAAAGACCAAATACATGATAATAAAAAGAAAACAAATATAATAACAAACATACATTTGAGAAATGTACCGATAGAATGGTTTGATAAATAGAAATACCTGGAAACTTGGATTTCAGACAATAATGATCAAACAACCGAAATAAGAGCCAGGATAGAACTGGTAAGAAATGCGTTTGTAAAAATGAAAACAATTCTCTGCAACAAAGACCTTAGATTAGAATAGAACTGAGAGTAAGAGCACTGAGATGCTCTTACTCTCAGTATAGCTATATGGACTTGATACTGCAATATATACTGCAATATGGACTTGAAAGCTGGACATTGAAGCAAGAACACATAGCAAGCAAGAATAAATAAAATAAAAATAAGAGTTACAATATCTGGGACACGTAATAAGGGGACAGCGATATGAACTGCTAAGGCGGATAATACAGGGAAGGATAAGAGGAGGAAGGAGTATAGGAAGAAGGAGAGTGTCATAGTTGAAGAATTTAAGGGACTGGTTTAAATACAGTTCTATAGAACTCTTCAGAGCAGCAGTAGATAAAGTGAAGATAGTGATGATGATATCCAACCTCCGATTGGGAGACGGCACTTAAAGAAGAATAAGAAGCTTTTAAAGTAGTTATGATAATTGTAAAACAGATGAATTAGAAGGAATATAGCTTTAACTGCTTTAATTTTAAATGAAATATAACTAACCAATTTAATAACAAATTAAAAAATAATAAATTTATAATTTCGTGTTTTGTTTTAACGGTTTCTATTTAGAATAATTATTATCTCACACTGTATTTGCTACGACACATATTACATACAATACACATAAAACCCAGCACATCAAATAAAAATATAAAAAGCAATTTTCATATAAATATTCCAAAATGCATTTAAAAAGAGAAAATATTTATATAAAATAAATATATAACCCTTGCAAACATGAAAGTACATTTCCTATTAAATACTGCAAATAAGCTGATTATTTACCATTTGCACGTTGTCTTGCTTCATCCAAAACAGTTTGTTTTGTTTGTTTTACCACTAAAGTTTCAAACCTGGCATCGTCGACTAAAGAACGTCTTCGTGCTGGATATCCGTTCTGAAAAATAAAAAAAAATGTTATTAACCAATCACAAGTTTAATTTCACAAAAAGTCAAAAAATAATAATTTCATCATCATCATCTTTGGCTCGACAATCCTCTGTGGATCTTGGCCTGCTCTAAGATTCGTCGCCATTCTGTTCGGTTTTTGGCAACATGTTGCCATCTTCTGATTTTTAATATTCGTAAGTCGGTTTTTACTCCAAAAAATAATAATTTATTATCCTAAATTTAGAATTTTATGCATATTTATAGTAGTACCGAGTAAATTGTCTATGGAAATCCATTTAAATCACAAGTATAGATATTTTTTAAAAATATGGAAAACTATCACTAAAACATGTTACTGGAAAATTCGTGCGAGAAAAATGACCATTAATAGTAAGTTATATTCAAAAGCAAATGCGTAAGAAGTTAGTTGAAACGATCTTATTAGAATAAGTGGCTGAGATTTCGTTAAAAAAATAAATATATCTCAGAGCTTACGATGGTATTGTCTCTAGCAGAAGGAAGCGTATATAAGATCGGAAATTAACTTCCTTCAAGCTAAAATTTTAACAAGATAAGTTCTGAATGTCTTGATTGTATGTGAATGTCAGACTAGACAAAAGAGGAGAGCATATTCTTTGATGGTATACAAAAATATTTTTATTTTTGAAAGTGTTTTATTTTGAGTAAGTAATATAACTATATGAAGTTTGGTGTTTAATAATGCATTACTGATTTTCATTAATACATAATCAGTTAACTTTTATTGGAAGAAATCAGTTAAAAGAGTGTTAATTTTATTTCAAAAATTATTATGTAAAAACGCTTCGAAATTAATAATAAAAATTTCTAAAGAAGAATATTTTTTTCCATCTTTTTACCTTGTACAAAGAGAAAGCAGAAATAAAAAAATATAACATTCGAGTAATAGATCACTATGCCTCCAGATCTAATTTACATTGATCCATTATAAAAAAATGCAAATGCCACATTTTACCTTGAATGCTGTGTCTACGTGACATAGGTGACATTCACAACGATCTAAATCATTTGCTAACTTTCATTCTTTTATACTAATTTTCATTAAGAATAGGAAATATTATTCATGAGTTCTGGTATGCTCTTAGATGTAATTATAAATAATTATATTTCTCATTAGTTGATATAAAAAAAAACTATACCATTCTCTGTTTCCGGGGCTGGGTTACCAATGCCCTTGAAAAGTAAGGGATACAAAAAGTGTCTTGCTACATAATTATTATATTGGTTTTGTTCAGGGTCGGACTAATTCAATGTTTAATAGAGATAAGATTATTATTTTGAACAATACAGGATATATTTCAATTATAAAGAAGGAAGTATAATCTACAACATACAACATTGAAACGTTTCCTTGGAGAATGTTACGCGCAGGTGAGTTATTTAAATTGGCAAAAAACAATCAGTGAAAGTCTACAAAGGCTAAATCTACACAGAAAGCAGTCAAAACCGATATGACAAAATAGGAAGATCTGAAAACTAAAATGATTTAATGGTTGCTAGATCCATAATTACTTAAGCTGCGGTAGTTCGGTGGAAAAAAAAAACAAAGCAACCACAAGAGAATAGCAGAATGACAAAAAATATAAAGACTAGCTTGTGTAGAAATTACGCGTGCTATGATATTCTGGCACCACTACAGTCTTAAAGTACATGCAACCATAAACGCATAATTATAATAAGGATATCTCTATGTGCCTTTAAGGTTAAGAATGCCTTACAGTTTAAACCCGCTAACTAACTGAGCTTCTGGAGTTTCTAAAAATTTAACCTTGTAATGAAAAAAAAATAAGATGTTAATTTAACCCAAAATAAAATCGCTAAATTCATAAGGTATACCGTCACTTATTGCACTCGTGGGTCAAAAACCCATAAAAAAGTAGGAATAATGATCCTAAAAATAGACTATTAATAGCTCTCGAAAATACTAGCATATTATTTAGAATCAAATTATAGCAACATATTTTTGTACTCAAAAGTACCTAAAAAACGCTTAATTCGATTGAAAGATTTACTGCATCTGACAGCAAAAGCAACTTGGATTTAGACGCAGTAAAGACTATCAAACCTACAACTTGATAGTGTATGACAGATTTAAATTAAAAACGTTCTCTTAAACAATTTACTAATACCCGCCACAATAAAGTTATTCTTTACTACTATGCCTGCCAGTCCGTAAAAGAATAAGTAGTAAAAAGATAGCTAAAAAAGATAGCCAAAAAAGTTACACTTAATAGTGGATTAGAGTCTTGGCATGAAACGGAAACACTGCCGTTCCTGATAACATTTCGTCGCAACATGTGGGAATAATATGCTACAAGCAAACCTTCAGCAGAAAAAGATAGATTTGGCAGAAGTGCTATTATTGCTATGAGAACTTTTCATTTTGCCTTAATATAGAAGCACTGGCCATAACCGGGCCAAATAAAAGTTCTATATTGTGTTGGCAAGGAGTGTATTTATAGCAGATATCTCGAAGACTTAAACAATGTCTTGAGGTCTTTTACAATGGTTAAGTACAAAGATGTATCATAAAAAATAGAAACAATGTATTATTACCGCCGTTACGACGTTTATTGATTGGTTTTTTATGTAAAAGTGGAGATTAACAACCAGTTATCAGAAAATGAGAAATTATTGAGTTTCATCACTGAAAACATATATGACATAGGAACGACAGCATCAAAGAGTTAATAGTCTAATATATAAATGTAAATAACACTAGCCATAAAATACTAATTTAGAATCAACAGAGCTCGGGTGAAGTCTTAGCCTGTTCAATTAGTCGTCTCTATTTAAGCCTATTTCTCGCTTTTGCTCTTCAGTTTCCAGTTTTAAATATTTTCCGAATTTTCTGTATTTATGACTTTGGTTAGTTTGGAGGCATTTATGCTGTCCAAATGAATTATTCATCCCATTATCAATCAGATTTATCTCATACGGTTCTCTGTAAGTTTAGTATAATTTAAAATTGTATTGCCTGCACTAAATGTAAGTTATGCAGACACCCCCCATGGAATGTAAATTCTTAAATAATTTCTATTTTTTTCGTTTTTACCAATATAATAATTTGACTCTGTTCTTTAAGTTCAAGTTGGTATTTCTTGCAATGTATTCTAAGGCTTAATTGAGTAGAGTCTAAGAAAAATCGTATACTTATGTAAGGTTCTTTTATGCTACAGAAGTAAATAGCAAACATATTAGTGATTCTTCTTCTTCACGTACCAAATCAGAATTATGCGATGTTGGCGATCACCATTGCGAAGGCTTCTCAATCTTCTGCAATATGGAATAATTATCCTGCATTTGATATCTGACTCCATTCACGAATGTTTTTTAACCAATAAACTTGTTTTCTTCCTACACAATTAAGGATCAATAGTTGTAATACTTTATATCGACCTTTCCTTGCTATATGTCCCAGATAAGACTTTTTCGTTTAACAGTCTTTAGCAGTTCTCTATCTTTGTTGACGCTTATTACTACTTCTTCATTAGTTTTCCTTGCTGTCCAAGGTATCTTCAGTATTTGTCTATGAACTCACATGTCCAATGCTTCAATGTTGTTCATGATCAATACTTTTAGCGTCCACACTTCTGCACTATACAAAAGTACAGACCAAATATAACACTTTACCATTCTTTGGAAGATAAATAGCACTTAACCAATAGTGATTAGTGGATTAAAAAAAATTGAAAATGCTAAATATGAAAAGTAAAGAATTAGAAATGAAAAAAATTATGTTTAAACCTAAGATAATTTTGATTTGCTAAGAAGTAATTACAAAATATTTTAAGGAAAATTTTTTTAGTGCAAACCAAAAAAGACACACGAAGAATAAATTAGACAAACAGCTATTTAGAAGTAAATGATCTTATTCTATCAACTGTTAAATATTAGACATACTTATGCGATAAAGTGTAAAGTAATAATTTGTATAAACACAAAGTGACACGTTTTAGTGTACTGTAGGGTTGAAATTATTTATAAAATGTGATAAGATGCTTTGCAGAAATGTCACCACTTCATTCTTTAACTGGAAAAAAGTATATTACGTAGTAGATAAGTATGGCAAACAACCAATTGAGTCTAATATTTTAATGGATTAACAAAGAATGTGTTCGTCATAAATTTGAGACAGATCGAGCAGTAATAAACCAAACCACTGGAACAGATAAAATAAGGGGACCGAATTATTTAAAAAATTGGCCATTTTATTTGGCGCCAATCAAAGTATATCATTAAGTCTAAAGGTAGTGAGGCATATATTAACACCTAAATGGTTTAGTCAACTTCACCATTATCTGAATGCATCTTAATTTCCATTTGGGTATCACTAAATATACTTTGGAGCCAAAACCAGTCAAAGGTTTTATCAAAACAAGAGTCTGTCTGTAGTATTCGCATATAACACGAGTAGTGACCTTTTGGCTATTAAATACGTGTGTTATAAAAAAACTCAAACTGCAACACTGACGGATACGTTTACAAAGAATTTAATGTTAGAAATTAACGAACCAACAGATTCTTTTTTTATTATTTTTGTAATACGACTGATTATCGTTTTATTAATGACACAAAAAGGAATAAAAATTTCCAGCTGTTAATGTATTTTACCATTTTCATACATTTTATGGTACATAATCATATAGGTACATGTAACAGGTACCTAGTTTTTATTATATTTCCTCGTTAATCTATATTAATAAGTTTAATTCATTCTATTAATTCTATTTTATAATTGGGTAGGTAGCAATCAAAGTTGATTGATTATTGAATCGTTAAAAGTTGCTTGATACTTCCTTGTGGTGAAATGACCTTCGAAATTTTAACTGTATTGACATTGTGAATTTTAATTTTATAATTGGATTGAAGTAGAATTCTTGATATAAAATACCTATAATGGAAACGGCTAAAATATATACATTTTTCAAAATTAGTCAAAACTGAAAATCTTTCATATTGTATTAGTATATATCTTAATACGCGCATTCAGTGAAGGTATTTTTAAAAATATTAATTTTCTTGAATATATTTACTTCTCTCCTTCTATGGATTAACTAGAAGAACAATTCATTATAAGAAAATGGCACAGACTAAGGCAATGAAGGACAGAGAATACTAGTTTCCAGATAACGCAAATTTTACTCAAATTAGGATCAGTAGACGAATACAAGAAACCAACAATAAAGAATTAGTCCATACAAAAATAATGTGTGAAAGAAAGCATTTATACACACAAATTTTTATTTTTTTTGCAGATGAAACTGCGTTTAACAATAGGAATAAATAAAGGTTTAGTTTGTTGTTTAGAAGAGAATGTTTATGTTTTTATGTGTTATATTATTGTTATACGAAAAGTTGTCTAAATGATATAAATAATGAATTATTGCTAATTTATGTATGAGAATTTTGTGGGAATACCTTGTTTGGGAACTACCAGTTATGCGAACGTAAACCAGTACAACGCAATGAATATATTAATAACTTCTTAAAACTGTATTATACGGATACCTGTTTTATTTATAGATTCGAAAGAATATCAGCAGCGGAAAAGATAAACCAGATAGTATACAGTTACATCTCATTCATATTTCACATCATTAAGTTTTTATGCGTATATGTAATTATTTTGAACTGAATTAAATTAGGTGTATAAAGTAAACTTGAATATTATAATCTTATCACGAAAACAAACCAGACCAAATAAATAAATATTATACTTGACATTGTTCCAAACCAATACTCGTTTTTTCTTTTGTCTCAGTCCCGTTTGACATAACATAAAAATTTACAAATAAAAAATGTTGTTATAACAACGATTGCTACAAAATTACCATAATCAGGGAAAGAAGTGAAGTTAAAAATATATGACGAATGAAATGAAGAATAAATAAGATACAGAGAGAATTATGTCTAAACAAAATAAAGAACTTTAATAGTCAGTAATCAAAAGAAGCGCAAATTGGTTTCACTAATTATTGAAAAAGAAAATCAACATTAGTTTGTAAATATCGGAAAAAGAAAAAGAGGCAGACCAAGAAAAAAATGGATACAGCAAGTAGTAGAGGCGGGAAAATTTAAACAAAAATAACTCGAGGAATTGAAAATAATGACAGGAAACAGAAAAGAATGGAAGAGGTGGGTAAATGGAAATTAAAATAGCTAGCGCAAATCCGATACCCTGATAGGGTAAAAGGAAGGGGAGAAAGAAAGAAAAAGAAAAAATTTAGAGGTATCAAATATGTCGAAAAGTTTCATCATACAACAACAATAATTGTTGTCTGTCACAGTCAAGGAGAAACATAAAGATCTCCAAGCAGATATAATACATTGTATATATATATATATATATATATATATATATATATATATAATATATATATATATATATATATATAAGTTTAAAAAGGTCTAACAATAAAAAGGATATCAAACATGTAAGGTTAATATCTTAATAGATTTTAATATTTTTAATAAAAATTATTAATTTCTGCAATTTTTCTTAAGTTTTAAGTACTTCAATAATATTGTCTGCTCTATTTTTTAACAACTATATTAGTAATGACAAATAATTTTGATTATTTGTTTTATTTGTAAAAAAACTAGTATTTATGTTTCTAAAATAAATCATAACATAAAATAAAACAGGGAAACAAGTTTCCAAAATATTAAATTAATAATTTAGAATGCAAAAATAAGAGAATCAAACGTTACTGTAATAAATGCAGTTTTTGAATCGTATAACAATAAAATGATATCCTTTCTATTGCTTACCTCATATGACGTTTAATGCAAACTATCACAAATTCACGTTACAATAACACAAAAGTCACAAATACACATACCTCGATACTGTAAGATTTTTTAATAGCGAACATTTCGCGATTTTTCTGTGCCGCTGCTACCGCCGCCATTTTTAGTTGCAGGAACTTTGTAAAAGATTTTAACGGGTGATGAAGAAAAACTCGCTGTTCAGCCTGAAAAAACACTTTTCACTGCTGAATTAAACCGACGCTGAAAAACCGCTTCGACCACGATCGGTACCGTCTGTCAAGTTAAGGGCTATGCAACGCTGGTTAGCGAGTTGTTGAGTGAGTGATAGCGCTTCGACGAGGCGGTTTAAGTAGTAGTTGCCCCTTACTGGGGGGGACCGGCCCTTTTTTGGTGACGCTTGCGTGCGGGTGACTCCGGGATCCCCGCGAATGCGTGTTTTACAAGGTTTTCTGACAGGGATCACCGATACGGTGGTTCTTTTTCTTCGCCTCCGTAGTGTCTTGGAGCTACCGAAGACTGTAAACAGTGGCTCGCAGAGGAAATTTCTGCGAATCTATGAATTTTAAATGCGAATTATTTGTCATTTGTGTTCAAAATTGGTGAAATACTTAGTTTAGTTTTATTAAAGTAGTAAAAATTGTAAAATTTTCGATGCGTGTAAAATAAAATCACCAAAATGTGTCATAATAGTATTTGTTACGAACATAGCTTTTACAACATTTAGTATAATTTACATTATTATATATTTTAATTCAAACGTTAAAGTTGATCTTTTATTGAAATGCAATTTTTTATCAAGTTGTAATACATTATAAAGGCATAGATATGAAACTATTACTTTTGCCCACTTTTAAAATTGTATTCGTTATTTAAGAACATAGTTCTTATTTTATGATATTATTATATTTTACATTTACAATATGTAATGCCATAACGGTATAAGGACTTTACGAAGTGAGTTTAAATTGTTATAAGAATTCGGAGATAAAAATTGCAATATTGCAATAAAAATAATTGTAATACATTTTATTTTATAGCAACAATAAGGAGAGCTCTGAAATAACGATATTATAATGACAACTTTTAAAATAAAATAAAAATTGTAAGTGCATAATTAAGGTTTCTACATGATTAGTACAGCAAAATATTTCGGTTAGAGTAAGCGTTTATGTATATATATATATATATATATATATATATATTATATATATATATATATATATATATATATATATACGGATTGGGTTTAGTAGTCAATATATTGGCCTTTAAGTAAAACTCTTTTAGGTTTGCTAAGCTTTCGAGTTTATTTTACTCTTTTTCAAAACATACTAAAAATTAACATAAAAATTTACATTAGAAAAATGAAGTTCTTATGTCTTCAATAGGCTTACCCTTGTGAGAATTGTCTTTTAAAATTAGCAAAATTTTACATTTTGTCATTATGTCATTAACATAATGACATTAAATTTGATTTACTTTTTATTTCTGTCAAAACTTATTACTAAGGTTTCCATGTCTCTTTTATTTTTTATATTTATTTTAGGTGAGTTTGACAGAGGAAGTGTCTATGTTTATGCAAACCTTCATTGCAAATTTTGATATAATATTACAGTTATTAAACAAGCAACAGAGTTTATGTTACTAAGTATTTAAGAAAGAAAAAATACAAATAAAAATAAATTTTATCTCATTTTAACTTGGAATAATCCCTTTCATATGCGTAACTTTTAAGAACTTTTATATTGTTATTCTTTTATTTAAAAGAAGATTACTGTATATAGCACTAAGATTTTCAATGTCTTCTCTTTTGTTTAAGGTGTTTTGTGTAGTTTTAATTAAACACATTTCTAGAAACTTAAAGGCTAATATATTGACTACTAAACCCAATATATCCGTATATATTACTCACATAGTCACTAAAGCCCTTTCATACCCCACTAAAGCCCCCACTAAAGAATATATATATATATATATATATATATATATATATATAAAAGATGGTGGTTTTATTGACTGTTGATTTAAATATCAAGTGGTAATTCTTGAGGATGCAGTCTTTCAGTCTTTTGGCCCACAAGACAAAGAAAACTCTTTGATTTACTGTCAATCCTTCGAATTTATTTTAAAAGACATATGTTAACAAATCAATATAATAAATATTTAGTTATAATTATTAATTTTCTTTTTTACTAGTCGTGAGATTACAGAAAAAGTTGTACTTTACAAACACCATTATACATTTATAAAAGTTTTTTAAAGAATTTTCTTAACATAACTATATTGTCATTATATATTATGTCATTATTATGTTGGCTTGATTAATATACATATGAATGAATATACAGCTACTTTATGTGGAAAGCAAAACCAGTAACAATGGTTTTTATTATTATTAATTTGATTGTCGATGAAAATAAATTAGTCCAGTTAGTTAGTTTAAGCTTACCTTACCAGTTTAGCCTACCCTTATTGATTTTGAATCTTGTCTATTAATACGGTATATATACCCTGGTCTGCGTTCTTCCTTTTCTGTATCTGCTTAACTAACTTACTATTTGGGACTTAGACTTCTTCTTTCTATTTCTGTATTAATACCTTGGTAAATTATTATTTATCTCTTTAATCATTTCATGTTCTTTTCATCGATTAATCCATTAACTATGATTCCTTTTAAATCTGAATTCAGCTTTATTCGTTCAACTTTATGGGCAAGATAAATGTAATTATAATAATAATTATGTTTATTTAGTAACACAAGATGCCGAGAAGATCTGAGTACAAGAAACAAAACCATACTTAATATTAAATAAACATAAAAGCTACCACAAAAGTAGCATCCCTTATGCGTGTGACTTTAAAATATATATTCAAATAAAAAGATAATTAACAAATATACAAATAGCAAGTTATATATACCTACGCACCAACAAATATTAATTAAATTTATTATAACAAAAATGAATAATTGAAGATAATAAAAATGAACATTAATTTTAGTTTTAATCTAGCAGGTGATACAAATGTGAATACATAAATGTGAGTACATGATATTAACTGCAATAAATTCAAGAAATGTTGGTAGGTAGTTGGTAATTAAAGTTTATTTAGATATTTCTCATTATTAATTACTATTGACCATTAATCAGTTTTTCATAAATTTGTGGTGTTTTGTTTGTAATACTTATACTTAGTATACTTAATTTGTTTGATGTGTTTCCTCAATATCCATATTTTTATTTTTATTTTGATTCTGAACTGTTCTATGCATCGAAATATTCTTTTAGCCCTTCAGTGACTGGTTGATCACCCATATGAATGTACAATATAAACTTTGTAATTTTTTATTGATAAAATTGAAACCCTATATAATTTTTCTACTAATAAAAATATAATTTCTCTGCCAATTTAAAAAGAAAAGGTTCACCGAACTTAAAATAAATAAACCGCTAATGGGCCTCACAGGCCTCACGTGACTGAACGTGTGATATATTTTTTTAATAAGTTGTAGCTCCATCTATATACGTTTGAAGAAAAATTACCTGTGTAGTTACCCTACATTTAGTACAGAATATTAACATTTAGCGATAAGTTGCACAAACACAAACATACAACAAAGTTAATCCCAGCTCAGGGGGACATGTGTCAGGGGGACATACAAAATGTGCTGGAATTCTTTTGAAAGAGGACACAACACTTGCTCCAAACAAAAGTGGTTATTGCAAACATTCCAGAATTAAACAGATATTTTTGTGTTTATTCTGTAAGTCTTGGCTGTGTATTGTACATATAACAGACCGAATTTGATTACCAATATTTTGTGTATGGTCTCTTTTTAAAACATTGTTGTTTATTAATTATTATTATCACAATGTCATTTTTTTTTATAATGAAATATTTGTTTTTGGATTACCTTCTCTTATTAAGTAAACTAAAAATAAAAACAAAATGCCACACATGTTGAGGGTTTTTGTATGCTTGTTTATTTCTGACAAATCTTAAATATTGCAATTTTATTTAACTTTATTTTTATTTATTTAACTGCATGAGTTTTGCATACGTAGGGGTTTTGTGCTAAGAACAAATAGATTGGATTTCTTTTAAGGGAATGAATAAATCTGCAATTAATTTATTACTTTGAAATTCCGCTTTGTGTTCCCCGAGGCAACATCAATGCCTTTTTGTTTCATTTCTCTAAACAGCTTTGCTGATGCGGCTTTTGTTTGTTACAGATTGACCTGCAGGAACCTTATTTCTGTCTTCACTACGAAGAGTTGTTCAGTTCTGGGTCCATCGACGTTTCTTCTTGTTTTGTGGGTCCAACGCACTCCTAGACAGTAGTCCTTGATTGATGTTTGTTCAACCAAAGGTTGTTTCTCTTCCTAACCCTCCATATCTTAGACAGTGTTTTCCTGTTTTACTGGAGTGACAACTGGCTTTTCTAGTGTTTTTGCCTTCCCTTCTCTGTATCGGAAAGTTAATTTTCTCACTCCTAAAAAGGGTGATATTTTGAGTATCAAAATCTATTGAAAAGATCCATAAAACTTTTTTGTTTAAGGCTTTGCTTCTCCAGACTCTCCATAGATATGTCCTGAGTCCATCCAGTGCATAAGTGTAGCTTGGGAATATCTTCCCCCTACAACCCTTAAGGGATGCAGTTTTTTCAAAGTGGGAATTACTTCCCTTAGCCACCTACCACTTGTGCTATCCGCATACTTAAGTTGTTGGAAATTTAACCAGTGGCTACTCTTCTGGAAGCAAACCTAAGGTCCTGTTTTAGGAATTTTTTTTTCATTTTAACTTCTGAAAATCCTGTTATTACTGCTGCAACTTAAACACAAGTGGCAGCTTGGCTGAAACTCACATCGTGGGTTGTTTTTGTGTTGTCATGGCCTCCAATCGCTTTGCAACAACTCTGTTGCCCGTGCAGCAGCCTTGGTAAAAATGGCATTAGTTAGAGCTTTTTTGCTTGTTTTTTATCTTGGCCTCGTTTCACCAGCCTACTGATTTTGTTTAGAGATGCCACAGAGCTTTGAAGCCTTAATCTCTTTGTAAAGATATAAAGATAAGATAAACGTTTTTCAACGCTGTTACTCTGACAGACTTTATTGTATCCTGCCTTTTAGCATAAAAGTTTCCTTTGAAACTACCTCTCCTTCCAGCGTTTGCATTTTCTTTAGAAATTGTCTGCCTTTCGGCTTTAGGAACTGTAATTTTGGCTTTAGAGTTTCCTGGTCTTTCGACTTAGTCCTAAGTTGTTTCTTTTTTTTTTATTTTGTTTAGCCCTGGATAAATCTGAAGATAGCATTTTACTCCAGTCACT